TTGATATTTCACCTCCTTACCAAGACTGCAATATGGAGGCAAACCAGCACTACACCTCATTCTTTAGTCTCCCTCCATCTGCCTTCTTTCCGCACTCCCCAACAAACAGCACACACCCAAACATACAAACGATCAACCTACACCAAAGCCTGCATGTCGCCAACCTTCAGTAAATATTTACTCATTCACTAATCGGCTTTACAAACACAGTAAGCCTTTAATAAACCCTGGTCCCTTTCCTAAGAATGTGAGGAGACTTCAAAAAGTTCATAAAGAAGTGAAAGTACAAGTTTATTTTGGTGCAAAACATTTTGAAATCTGCACATAGTTTTTTCATAATGTGCATTTTCTAAGAACTTTTGAAGACTCCTTATACAAGAGTAGATTCCTAAACTTTGTAACTTGGAAGAAACTGTGTCTAAGCTTTTCCAAGATAAGTATATACATGGAGAATGGAAATTTTTGAAAGTGTCATGATATGATCTTACATGTTTTTATTTCTGCGCTTGAAAATTGGTGTTGAGCAGTATCTCTAGTTTTGTACTCCAACTTATAAATACATATGCATGTCCTTAAAATACTAATTTTTAGATTATGTTATAGCTTAGCCTTTTCATTCTATAATTTCTTAGAACTTAGATAAATACTCACATAGTTCTTGAATTGTCTTTGGGATTTGTAGTATTTTGTTACATAAAGTTAAACATTTCTGAGTATTCTTGCATAGAAACAGGTTTTCTGTATAAAATTATTTTAATCATATTTTAAATAATTTCTATCTCCAATACAATATTTTATGTATCAGTTTTGTGAAAGAACCTGTACCATGCACAAGAGAGAAAGAAGCATCCTCAACAGGGTCTCATCATGCCATGATCTCCTTTCTTCAACCTTCCAGCTTATTAGAATCCTGGGCACTCACTTACACATGCCTAGCATGTTTTCAGGCCAACCCATGCATCTGAACCCATGGTTGGCTGTATGGCCTCCAGCCTTGGCATATGCCACCATGCCACTATGGCTGGGCCTAATCCTGTAATACTTAGGTTTCTGCCATAGGGCACCTGCACTTTCTGGGAAGAGACAGAGAAGGGGAAAGTGAGAAATCACACCCCAGGGGAAATGCCATACTGCAATCTCTTCTCCTCCATTCTTCTCTCAGGATTTTGGGAATGCATGTGGACATCTGGCATGATTTTCAAACCACTGGATCCAGGACTTGAACCATGGATGGCCATGTGGGAATCCAGAACCTTAACTGCCATGCTACTAGCTAGGCCCCATAAAAATATTTTAATAAGCCAATTCTTGCTCTTTATTAACTGCTCAAATAGGAATGTCTGCATTGATACAAATTCAAATATTAAAAACAGTAAATGTTTAAATGTGAATACATTTTATGTAAAATAGATACTATAATTCTATTGTAGATGACCTATAGCCAGCAACTTATAAATTAATTTAGCCTAAAATCCATTGCTTCTAAAATCAAATTCAATATTATAAGAGTGAAACAAGTTTTAAAACACACACCATTCTTCAATCAAATGATTGTACTTACTGTTTCAAAACCTCGATGTGGGTGGTCAGGAAATCCACCTGGTCTACCTCCTTTAAATTCATCAAACAGTAAAAATGGATCCAGATTTTTTAACTGAAATAAGAATAAATTCAGCAGATTAGACATGCCTTTTAAGCCATGCTACCAGGGACTACATTCATAAACAGATCTAGTAAGACTCACTGAAAACTATACAGCCAATGAGCCACGTTTCTTTTTTTAAAAACATTGCTTTCAGAAAGAACTTTTATTTAAAAAGAGAGTTCACACTTTTATGGGAGGCATAAAGAGTGGTCAGACATTTCATGATCATATAAGATACAGTCAAGTACGAACAAGATACAGCCTAGTCCTATATAAATCGAAAATCTCATAGGGGAACAGACAAGAAAACCAGTGGTTGTAATGTGAGGATAAAAATGCGCTGGAGGAAGACAACTTTACACATATGAGAGTGGGGTGGGATCAGGGAAGGTTCTACCAAGGAGGTGGCACTTGAGCTGGGCCTTGAAGTACATGGAAGAATTAATCAAGGTGAAGGCAGAGAAAGAGAAGGAAGGATATTCCAGGGAGAAGAGCAGAGAACTAACTTTGCATGTTTGAAGAACTACAAAGAAACAGATCTGCTAGGGAACGAGATGCACATAGAATGAGCAGAGGACAAAGGCCAGTTCTTAAAGTGTATGGATTTTATCTTAAAGACTATGGGCTTTAATCAGTGGTTGAGATGATCAGACTTAGAAGAATCACTCTGCAGAAGACAGTTTGAGAAAGGAAGACAGGAAACAAAGAGTATTTAGAAGGTCACCTCGACAGTCTGAGCTAAGACAAAGCCCAGAACTAAGGGAATGACAACCGTGACTAACTAGGTACATATTTATGAAACAAAAAGGAAGACTTAGACTTAAATGACTCTCAAATTTCTAGCTATGGTGCCTGGGAAGTGGTAAGGCCCAATGACCAGCACAAGGACTGTAACAGATACAACCTGTGGCCACCATCCCTCAGGCCCATGGAGCTCCCATAATAAAGCTCCAGCAGCCTGAAATTCTATTCTAGTCAGGAAGCACTGGAAGTAGCAATCAGGAATGGAAGTTCCTTAGGGACAGTGCTATCACTATGCTTTCTTATGAGACCCCACGGAATTTAGCGTAATTCTGTGTACAAAGAAGGTATCTATAAACATCTTGAGTGGTATTACTGTTAGGTCCCTAATCTCTCTTGTACGAATGGTCATATGATTGAATTTGGCTACAATGTACGAGTTATAAGGTGAGACTTTTAAGAAAATTACTAAAAAAAAAAAAAAAAGGACAGTTGATGTGTGTCTTTTGCCTTTCCCCTCTTCCTTCTTTCCATGCTAGAGGGCAAATGTTTGTAATAGTCCTAACAGCTGCCTTGGACCGTAATGTGATGCATTAAGAATGTGCTCGGAATTATATGACCTAAGAAAGAATGAGCGCAGGTCTCTGAAAATTGTGGATGGAGCTGCCAGGCCCACCCTGCACTGCCTGTTTGTGCCTCTTTAAGAAAGAGACAGGCATTTACTTATGTGACCCATTCATTTTGGAGAAAGCTTTCTGTTACACACTGCTGAATCTACTAACAGATCTAAGGGCAAAAATGCCCATGGTAGCAGCCTGAATCAGATGATTTGAGGCCAGGCTACATCAAGACAATATGGTGGCAGCAGCAGAATAAATGAGTACGAGAATAATGGGATGCTCTTATGAGAGAATATAGCCCAGGTGCTAAAATAATGTTCATGAAGAATTTATAACAATATGGCAAGTCCTTCTGCTACCACGTTAAGTGAAAAAAAAAATCAGGGCACAAAACTGTTTATTCTATATAACCCATGATGTAACATAGAAAAACAGAAAAATAGGTCATGACTTTTATGACAACTTAATACAATTTTATGGAAACAAAAGGAAACCCCCTAATAGTGATTACACTATTGTGTAATCAATGTGGACACTATTGATTATAGATTGATGGGATTAGAAACAATTTCTAGCTATTTAATTTTCCTTAGGGTAGAAGCATAGCCAGAATACAGGAGATCTGAATCAGTAGAACAAGGGTGGTGGGGGAGTGTATTTAAAGCACAGGTTTTCAGCCAATGCCCATGGACAGAATTCAGGAGGGTTGTAAACGTGGATTAGAAATAAATTACATCATTATTTTCACTTTTACTTTGACAAAATGCACATAACATAAAATTCAGCACTTTAAGTATTTTAAGTATACAGTTCAGTGGCATTAAATTCATTCATGTTGTTGCACTACCATCACCTCCATCTTCACACTGAAATCAAACATTTTCTTCAATTACAAATGTAGCCAATGGCCTGCAGTAAATGACCAGTACCTGTGATGTTATCACCAACAGAAATCAAAGCTATTTCATATCATATTGCAGTTGTGAGTAGGCATGTTAAAGTATTATTCATGCTCCTCATAGCTTTTATAATTAGGGAGCTATTATAACTGCCACCAAGTTTATTATTTAATGTGGAATTATATTACAGAATTATTTTTTAAACTTTTTAACAATATTTCAAAATAAAAGTTTTCCTCGGTAATGCTATGTATTTTACTTTATGTATGTGTTTTGAGAAGAAATTGGTTTCACCAGACCACCAAAGGAGTTCACAGGACAAAAAACAAGAAGTCCTCAGATGTGTTCCTGACAGATGAACTAAAGTGTTAGCTACCCTAGACATATGATTTACTGACAGATGTCTTTAGAGTCCCAGAATTCTTCCCAATTGTTGTGTTGCTGATATAGCCTAGTAGAACATGACACCACCTCCATCTGCATCTCCCCAACATCCCCAGTGCATTTTGCTGTTAGAATAACCCTGTTTGCATGTATACTTGGGAAAACAATGTTGGATCTCAAAAGATATTCATGGATAAATAAAAAGCTAATGTTGCAAAGAGACATGGCAAAGGCACAGACAGAAGGATGTCTGAGGGGGTTGATGCAGAGTGGAGCTGACAGTTCTCTCCCTGCCTTCAATGGCCAATCAACATTATGTTAAGTGAAATATGCAGACACATAAAGACAACTACAGACTACAATGGAACCAAAAACAGTTGAATTCACAGAAGTAGAGAGTAGAATGATGGCTACCAGGGGCTTAAGCAGTTGGGGAGATATTGGTCAAAAGATACAAAATTTTAGTCAGAAAAGATAATTAAGTTTGAGATTTACTGTACAAACATGATGACTATAGTAACAATGTATTGTACACTTGAAAATTGCTAAGAGAAGGCTGGATGGTAGCACAGCAGTAAATCATGATCCTCTGGGATGCTGACTGATATAGGAAGGTTCCCAACCAGAGACCTCCCTGAACAGGCCTGGCATGTGGCCATGATCTGGGACTGGCTGAAACTGGGGGTGGATCACAGCATCAAGATCCTGTTGGGGGGTGCTATCTCTTTGTATCCGTCTCCCTCACACTCATGGGAGAAATAACAGAAATGAACTTAAAAAGAAAATTGCTAAGAAAGGAGATTGTATATGTTCTCTTTATGCGCCAAAAATAAGTATGTGTGGTAATGGATATGTTAATTACCTTGGCTTAGCCATTCCACAATGTATACATAACATATATCAACATATCATGTTGTATAACCATAAATTTCTACATTTTCATTTGTCCATTAATAGTTATTTTTTCAAAATAATGAATGCACCAGCATTGTAAGTCAGTACTCTCTGAGAAAGGCTTATTTAAAGTTGGAGAAAATAACCCCAATGTCATATTCTACTGTACTACCTAATAGAATGGTAGTATAAGGCTTAGGTCAAACAACAAAGTAATATAAAATATCAAAGTAAAGTTGCTAAAAAGGACAAACCAGTCTAATTCTTCAAAATAGAATCCATTTCCCTAATGTATTTCTTCTTTTATTTAATTTTTTTTTTTTTAGAATCTAGTATGATGCTGAGAGCTATGTTCCTTGGGCTATGACCATCATTTGATACCTTTCCATGCACACACTTTTTCCCACAAATCCCAAGCTTCCCATATTATTCAAATGAAAATGTTCTCTAGTGTTGAAAGGCGTCTATGTAACCTGCTATCACATTCTCTGACAACTAATCTCCAATTACAGTGACTCCCCACCACTACCACCAAAGGTCTACACAATTGGTCTACTCTCTATGAATCCAAGTCCATAGCAACCACTGGTTGGCCTGGAGTGGCAACCTGACCCATAGTGAGTCAGTCAGATTCTCTCTCCTGGGAATTTAAATTGGGACTCAGGGGTACTCTTTGATGGTCTGAACTGTAGGCCTATAAACTTGGGAACTATAGGGTAGGCATGCTTGGTTATATGCCTGCCAAGGCAGACAGCAGGCCAGCCTAGGGCAGGATATGGGTGTACAGAAAGAAGCAAAGAAACTTCATGAAGACTGGTAGTAGAAGCTCAGCTTCCACCCAAGACCTCAATATCCACACTACAGAAATCCCGTTTGGGCTGGGACTTGTTCACATAGGGCCCTAATCTTGAAGTTTGGCATCTGTACCTATGGCAGGCCACAGGGCAACTCATGATTTTCTTGCCCCTCTCTTCTGAAATTACCCTCAACACCCCATCAGTCCCTTCCAAAAATAAAACAGGGAGCAGTTATTCAACCAACATACCTCAGGTCTCCCAATGCTCCTGCGGACTCGTGCGCCAACCCCTTCCGACTGTTCCCGGCTGAGCACTGAGAGAGTAACCTTCTTGGAGGACCCCATGTTGAAGTCTAAAGAGAGAGTATTCCGAGGCTGAGCTGCAGAGGATGGAAGAGCAAATGGAAGGATAACAAAAATGAAGTCAAAAAGGAGGAAACATCCAAGGACTACAAAGTAAAGGATATGAAACTTAGACTTGGCCAAAATGTAATAGTAACAGCTACAATTTATTGATTGCTCACTATGTACAGGTCCCAGGTTAGGTGAATTAAAACAACAGTGAGGATGACAATGTGTATGAGGACTTACTAGGTATCTGGTATCCTACTAATTATTTACAATTATTATCTCGTGTAACCCTGTAGTCATCTGTACAAGGGTTAGCAGTAACATCTGTGTTGGGCACTAAGAACCTCCAATGAGCACTTTACGTTCTCTACCTTATTGAACTCCTACACACCTTTCCCCAGGTGTCCACCCACGAGATAGGTGCTACCAGTGAGAGATGGGAGATTTGTGTAGTGACACTGGGAACACAGAGAACCACGAAGCCCATGACTCTCACCAGAACATGCTGAAAACCTTGGCATTGAAAGGGATCTTTGAGGATCACTTAATTCAAAGACCAATCCATCCCTGATGTTCAATGTCAACTTTTCAGGGAGGAAATCTTGGCGTTATCTCAAAGTCTTCTAGCACTTTCTAATGAACTCTAGAGTGCATTTAACTCATGGATGAGCCACCTTGACAATGTACTCCATTTTTTAGGACTCACCTATAGCCCATATTTATTATTCTAAAATGTCTCCTCTTCTTCGGGGGAGGGAGGTCTAAGGCCTAACCAATGGACCATCAAGGGATAAAGATAAGCAATCCACTTCAAGTGTTTGCAGGCAAGATCTCCAATCCCCTAAATCTCTTAAAACATCGATTTTAAGATTCCTACAGAAACCAAGAGAGGTGCTTTAGTAGAAATCAGACTCTGGAGACAGACTGCCTGGGTTTACACCCCAGCTTCACCACATACCAGCTGTTGACCTGAGGATCTCTGTGCCTCAGTTTTTCCATCTGTTAAAAGGGAGTAATAAGACTGCCTGCCTCACAGGGATAGTTAGTGCCTGAAGGATGTTAGCTGATGTCATTCAGAGGACTCTACCCAGCAATATCCAGTTAGTCAAGGCCTAGTCTAAAAGGATCCTGTCTGAGTAGTAACCTATACATACTTACTGGGTGGTGGAATGCGGGGCACAGAATTGAGCTTAGTACTCAAAGCTGTGCGGGCCTGTCAACGCCTACATAAAGGCCACTAAGAGTATTTCCCCCCACCTAGTCTATTTCTGAGTCCATCCAGACTCTTTTAAGTCATTTGTACGCACGGGAGCAACTGATGAGGTACCTAACAGATTTCAGTGCTTTGCAGAAAGAAAAACTATCTACTCGTTCCACCGCTGAAGCAGCTCCGGGCATCTCCCTTAGGAGTCTGAAGCCGACTGGGAAAGGGAAGGTCTTGCGAAGGGACGCCAGGAACCCCGGACCAACGCCGACCCGGCGG